AAGAAACAGCATATCGCATAGCGTCTTCTTCGACAGCCGGCGCCGAGCACCGTAGCCTCCAGTCCGACCGTGCATTTCGTCGTCCGCCAAAGGCACATTGTCTAGGTGCTTGACATCTCCATGCCCAAGACTGCGCAAGGGCGGAACAAGGCGTACTGTGTCTCCTATCCACCACTGCCGCCAAAGGTCTTGAACTCCACACCGCGGAAAGCGCCAATCAGCCGAAACACGATGAAAGCCGCCGCCATACATGTGTAGTGTGTAGCCCGCGCCCGTCTCGACTCGCTCCGGTAACGCCGCCTCGTTGCCTTGGCCTCCATGAAACTCAATCGTTCTGAGTGGCATGTAGACGATCACTGCCGTGCTCGGTCAGCCAATCAACCTGATGGATGGAGCACGAATTAAAAAATACGATAATGTCGCCGAGGTAGATACGACTTGTTCTACCCATCCCGGACATTGTTGAGAGCGAGATGTCCGCCAACAGCAGCAGCAGCACCACCGTCACCACCATCAGGAGCAATATCAGCAGCGGCAGGAATAGGGCCGCCATCAACAACTATTTCCGCTGGATCGGGAAAAACGTTCATGATGCGGCGTGAAAATGCACGAACGGATGATGTGAGATTTTCTCATAAAAGTCATTTGCAAATTCCACAATCGGCCTACGAGTTGGTACGTACCCTACGGCGGTGGACTATGGTCCACCAAAACAGGAAATGATTTTGATGCACTTCAACTTACGTAGAATTGTGCGTAGAATTGTACTTAGGATCATTTCTGATCATGTCAGATTTGTCGGACTTTGGTCCACCAGGATCATATGGGGACCCCCTTTCGGTCCCACAAAACCGGGTTAATGTATTGTGAAGAAGCGAAGTACGTCGTAGTAGGTTCGGAAGCTTGCGATTGCGTCTTGTTGAACGGTATTTTTGGCATTCGTCATTACGTGAGAGTACCGATACACGCACGTCATGTCAGAACACAATTAACGACAGATCTTTTCGAGATAATGGAAATTTGAAAATGGGAATGAAAAGAAACAGAACGCCGACTGAATTAACACTAACTATTGCACTACCGCAGAGCAAGTGATGGCATAGTCCACCAATAATAAGATAGTTCTACTAGACTAGTAGCTAGGAAGACAACTAGTGTTGCAGTTCAGATTACAAAGAATGGCTTTTGTTTCGTATACGAATTCGTATTCGATCTTATACATGTTTACACGTGGACAGTGTAGCCGGGTGTGAAAGATAGGTAGTCCCTCGTTGTTTTGTAGAGAGCACCTCCGCAATCACTCAAAATGAATGCGATGTTCTTCCAAATCCATCATCGTTGTGCCTCTGAGTCACTGTCATAGCTGGACAGACTGCTATTGCTACTATCCAATGACGGATTGCTACTGCCATCCTGGCTGTAGCCACTACTGGAACACGAGACTGGACGGCTCACAGTAGAATTGGCGGGAAAGTCTATAACCGTGGCTTCATTTTGTCGATTTAGAGAAGGATCTTGAGGATTTTCAAATCGACTAGTAAATTGTTGGTGCTGACTTTGTTTTTGCAGCCCATCTTCCAGGCGAGGGTGAATGTAAATGGGTTGCTGCAATGGGGGCGACGACTTTTGGAAGGACGTTGCTGGAGACAAAGCATAAAAAGGTTGGCACATGGTCAACATTTCGGCATACTGATGACTGGACACAGCGTAATCGACGGAGCATTCCATTGTGTTTTGTGCTTTTAGAAGTTGCAATAAAAAAGTGAGTTCTTGTTCCTGCCCACACGTTTTTGAAAAAACACCAGAATCTGATGATGATAGTGGAGAAGCAAAAATGGTAGTTCAAAACTCTCCGTTTCGGTTCTTTGTCTTGTTTATCGACAATCGATTGTTTGTACATCTCGGGATGTGTTGTGTCATTTGAGCGTCATTCATGATGATGTCGTTAAAGAAGTTCAATTCTCTTCGCATTGGCATCTCATTTTCGATACCATCTGCCTTCGAAAAATGGCCAAGCGTTATGTATGGTCGACTGATGTTTGTTCGATACGTCATTTGAGATGTTGCGATCGCGCGACAGAAGAGGTTGAAGTCTTACTTAGCAGGCAAACCTCGTCATCGACGTCTTATCAATCAATAGTTATGAGAGAAAAGATGTGACGAGAGTTCCTTGATGTTGTCTTTATGTTTATTCCGTCGAACGGGTATGAGGTGTGTCAGAATGATCCAGGAGAGAATTCTATAAAACAGTACATATTATATGATGTATTTACAGTTAATAGACAGTAGAAACGGAAGACAAATCTTTTTTCTTTTGAACAAAACGTCACAGACGCGACATCACATCTCTACTTTTTTTTCTCTCTTACAGTTAGACGGTGCTCGGAGTACGTACCTGTACCTGTACCTGATACTGTTGTCTTGTACTACGTTCAACGTACCGTACTACGGTACCGGTGCTCTGAGTACATAGCCGCAAAGCTGGCATCAAGCTTCGGCTTTCGGCTGACACATCGACACATCGCTAAACAAAACATTAACTGTAAGACTACGGTAGCTAGCCACACACTGCTGGCTACTGGAGGAGATCGAAGACCGAATCCTGGAACGACAAATATCTAATTTGTCTTCCTTCGTTTTGTCGATCTGTTTGTACCATCGAATCGACTCAAAATAATAATAATGCCGTACCAGTGGCGAAAGTGCAGTTTCTGTTTCCGAGGACGTTTAATTCTTCTTCTACTCAGTGCAATCTTGCTCGATGTTCCGTTGGTACCAAGTAGTGAAGCATTGTCGACTCGTCCTAGCGGTACTAAGGGTCCTTCGACTCGCAGCACTGCTCCCAATGGAAAGAACCCAAAAAATCTGATCCAATCTACCGCAACAATTTCTGCGACTCCAAGGGCAGCCGCTTCTTTTGCCTTGATGGAGGCCATGGCCCCACTAAAAAAGAATCAAAAGCCGAAAATTGCCCTTCGACAGCTGGAGCGAAATCAAGCATTCTTGGAAATGGATACTCGTGATCGAGCCTTTGCCCGTATGCTCTTGTCGACGGCGGAACGTCGCCATGGACAAATCGAAAAAGTTCTACAAAAATATCTGCATCAACCAATGTCGAAAGTACGTACTGAAAGGATAATGTCTAGCTAGAACTATTTTGTATTTTTGCAGCGATCGCCTCTCATTTCAAAATTGTGCACTGTTATTTTCTGACAGGACCGCATCTCCGAAGTCTTTTGCCAGGCCGTCCTGAGGATAGGGGCGACACAGTTGCTGTTTATGGACAACATACCAAAATACGCTGCAATCAAAGAAACAGTCGAAGTCTTGCGGAAACACCCTACAATCAAAATATCGTGAGTGCCAAAAGAAGGCGAAAGACACAAAGCTGCGTTTTTGTACTAACTCATCTTTGCACGCTCAGTCAACCAAAAATCAATTTTGTTAATGCCGTGTTGCGAGGGTTAAACGAAGACGGCACCGAAATACTTGAAACAACCACATCGGTACTTGACAATGTCCATCCGTGGCTGGCCAGGGAATGGATCGAATCGTATGGGGAATCAACTACACGCACCATGGTCGAGGCGGCCATGGAGGAATCGCCCATTTTTGTGTCGGCAAATCAACTGTATAGGGACTGCGACGACGACAAAGAAGAGAATGTTGCAGAGATTATTCAACGAGCGTTTTTAGTGGGAGAACCATCAGTTGACGATGCAAAGAACACGCCCGAGCTTTTGCCAATTGGTTGTGTTCGTATCCCGCCAACTGTTGGTGGGACTGTGTCAAAGTGGCCTTTGTATCAAGAGGGTGCCTGGTGGGTGCAAAATCCCAGTGCAACACTTCCCGCTTTGGCATTGAGGAGTGGATTGCAGCAGGAAATGTCAAGCGACCAGCCGATATATGAATGTCACGTCGTCGATCTTTGTAGCGCTCCGGGAGGAAAGACTGCACAACTCTGTTCCATGGGATTTCAAAACATTGACGCCGTCGAACTGAGCAGAACGAGAACAAAACCATTACAAGAAAATCTCAAGAGACTCGGTATGCAAGAAAAATGCAATGTACATATCGAAGATGGACGTTTGTGGTTTCCAGATTTGGGCAGAAACTCCGTCGATGGAGTGCTTCTGGATGCACCTTGCAGCGCCACTGGGCTGGGAAGTCGACATCCAGATGTGCTCACAAAATCGCTAGACGGTGGCCTACTGGAGGAGCTTCTTGTCACCCAGAAGGAACTGATAGCACACACCGTTGATTGCATTTTAAAGCCGGGAGGGATCATGGTCTATGCCACCTGTTCGCTACTACAACAAGAAGGGGAGCACCAAATGGAACGTTTGCTTGAAAAGAGAGGTGGTATTGGAGTAGAGATTCTACCGTTCATGCCGGTTGAATTGCCCGGATTTGACGATTGCATTACCGAGGAAGGATGGCTGCGAGTCCTGCCGGGGGTCTTGAAAGGCTCACTACAGTTTTGCGATGGTTTCTTTGTTGCAAGGTTACGAAAAGTGTAATAACAAAAAAGTTACGAACATAAGATGGTGTCGTAATACAGTCTGTACTATTCAGCATCATAAAATATGCAACGTCAAAGCACTCGTAAACCAACGACATTACCAATCCGGATATGAGATACCGGTAATGTTTTGTATGAAGAGTACTCGGCTTGATAATTATGACGTCATCATAGATACGAGACCAATTGAAAATAGCACAAAAAGTTCCTTGATCGAATCTTGTAATTTTTGCGACACCACCGGGAATAACGGGGAACGTTTGACTATGGACATTATTCGAATGTATCTCGTGTCTAATATTACACCGTCCTTCGGGGCCCGGCTGGTGAGTCAACTTCTAAGATACGGAACTGCTGGTAGCTAGAGTAGTTGGCATAGCCATAAAATAGATTTCATTCTATTACGCCGTTGTTCTCATCATGTTCTCATGCGGACTTACTGTCAGGGCAGGCGCACAAAGTACAAAAAGAAATTCTGTGGAGATGAGGAGAATCGAACTCCCGACTTGTCGCATGCAAAGCGACCACTCTACCACTGAGTTACATCCCCAGTTAACAGGTATTCGTGAAAATAAACAATATAAACACGTTTTGATGATTTTGTTCTACGACAGTTAACAGTAAAGCATATTACTTCGTGTATAATACTCGTGTCTCGTGTGCGACAGTCACTGGATAATACCGTAGTACCTTGTACATACAATTCTTCCGAGAGGAAACCTTGAAGAAACTTAACAGTAAACATCTGTATCAAGATAATTCGACAACAGCAAAGAGAGTACTGTCAGATTGGTACGCCAATCAATTATTACGCTTGACTTTTTGGTATGCCGATTTGTCCTTGACTTTTTGGTATGCCGATTTGTCCTGTTTTCTTGGTCTGAAAAGCTCCTTTTCGGCTGCTTGGATTATTGAAATTCCATACTATCAAAACGTTCAGAGATACAGGCAGCACTTAACATTTTTTGCGTCACGGTCACCGACTATATCATACAACAATGAACATCGCCCAGCTGCTGTGCTGGACGGCTCCAATATTTATTTGGAATGGATTCCGTCTCTTATTGTTTGTTTTATCCTTGGCCCCCGGATTCGTGCGCTTTGCCTGGTACTACTTTGTGACGGCCGATCGTGTTTCGGTGCGATACGGAGACGATAGCATGCGACAAACACTAGATGTCTATCGACTTGGCCGTAAAAACAAAAATGAAATTGTTCATTGCAATGGTGAAAATGGTCACCCTTTCTCATCCAACCGCCAGGACAGCTCGTCGGCTACAGAAGCAACAGATAACGCAGCACCTGTTCTTGTCTTTTATACGGGTGGGGGGTGGATGATTGGATACAAAATGTGGGGATCTCTGTTGGCACGGGCACTGACGGCAGCAGGAATTGTAGTGGTCATTCCAGATATGCGAAATTATCCATTTGCCACTGTACCTGACATGGTCCGCGATGCGGATCTATCTTTGGAATGGACTCTGCAAAACATTGCAGATTATGGCGGAGATCAGACAAAAGTTGTAGTAGTGGGGCAATCTGCAGGCGGTCACGTTTCGTTCATGGCAATCATGGACAAACTTCGAATGATGAGTCGACAAAATGGTGGTGGGACGAACCAGGTCAATGAAAATTCGTGCGACAGCTGGCAAGAGTCTCTTTTACCCACATTCCGTAATACATTGTGGCATCCATCCGACTTGAAAGGACTCGCTTGTATATCTTCTCCCTTCCATCTTAAGGCTATGTCTGATAGCTTCCAAAAGAAGGGATTGGACGATCATCTTGTGGACCGTATCTTTGGCTATGAAATCGACAAATACGATCCCTTTCTTGCAGTGAAAGGGCTTCAAGAAACAGCAGACGGTCAACAACTTCTGTCGCAGGAATTACCTCCTATACGAATATACCACGGGACATCGGACAAGACCGTACCACATGATAGTTCCAAGACGTTTTACCATGATCTCAAAAAGTCCATTGGAGAGGAAGAACGACTTTCGTTTGTATCGTACCTCGGATGGAGCCACACCGATCCAATATTAGAAGGACCGATGGATGCAGACCAGACTTTGCATCGAGACTTGTTCCGGGATGTACGAAAATGGACAGGGTCTACTACATTATCTTGGCCGAACGAGGATCCCATCATCTATAATCGACTTTGTCCTCATTTCATGGTTCAGGCTGGAAGATTTTTCAACCCCTTCTAGCTGGATGTCCAGCAGGTAAATGAAAATTGGTAGGCTGTAGTCCATGCTCATTGGGTACACTGTTGCGGTAACGGCGTGTAGCGATATACATTAATACGTAGTATGTAGTAACAAGGCGCTACCATCCCGCATGAACTGGATCACCTTGCCATTTAGGATGGCTTAGCCCAGGTTTGTCAGAGCCTGTGGAACTAAGAATTTATAGACGATCCATCAATGCCACGGAAGAACTGCCACCGCTGTCTTATGCATGACAGACCAGAAGCTTGCGACTTTTTTATCTCAGAAGGGGGCAAAGAGAGAGGAGGAAGAATGCTTTCGTATGATTCCTGATAGAAACTCGAGCGAAGAACCAATCACTGGTAACATTGTCAAGATTATCTCTACACATGGCATCAAGGTTGGAAAAGTTAAAAGATTGATGTGGTCATTGCTGCCTTCCCGATATTATTTTGGAAGACCACAACAAATCTGACGTATCATTGGTTCGGGCTTTCCTATTTACAGTAACGCCTTTCCAGTTTGTTTGACTGTTGGGCGACGCACAGAGTACTGAGTGGACGGAAAGCTGTTGCATGATTTGCCTAGCCCCCTCTTGGGAAAGGCGTGGTGAGCCAGCTTCTTGGATGCGGAGTTGAGGGCAGCTGGTAGTTAGAACCTTCAAAATAAGATTTCATCAACAAGGCAAGATTATCCGGCCGTGGATCACATTTGTGTAGACTTGGTAGCTACCGGTAGTAGTATCTTCGTATCTTCGAACCTTTTTGTGAAGAAGGCACTCGCAGTCAATTGATCTCCCACGTCCAGTTCTTACCATTCTACTCTTCGCGCGCGTATGGCGACGTCAATTGAGCCGGGAATCCATGACGGCACAATTGGAACATCGACAATTCGATGGTGCTGCAGCAAAAGTACGTATGTACTCGGCCGATGTGGTCCAGAGAAAAACGTCTTTTCTGTGCAGATAGGCATGAGGTGGATCGAAGTTTGCTTGACACGGTAGGTGGTCCATGAATGACGTGAAGTTAGAATCGAATAATCCAGATGTTTCCCTAATTGATTTGGTCGCAGATACCATGTCCGTACGAGCTGACAGACGACCACGTACGTGAGAGATCTCCTCCGACGACACTTTTGGATCTTGTCGAAAAACGTACTTGGTTGATTTTTCCGATGTCTACCGCACCCATCGATGTCACAAATTTAATCTTTGAAGGAAAAAGTCTCCACTGCTCAATTCAACATCAAGGTACGTTCCAGAACAAAAGGTCTGATCCTCCGTGAAATTGTGAGCGTTACAGGAGCCAGGAAGCCATTGGTGGCGTCTTTTCAGTGGTTCAGCGGGTCATCTTATTCTTCCCCATGGTGTAGAATGATTTTGGCTCATTTGTCGTCGTTGTCGTCGTCGTTGTAGACGTTGTCTTACAGTATTGTTTGCTGATATCTCTTACTTGCAGATGAAGACATTTATCCTCGCCATTACCGCTGCCACCGCCGTTGCGTTTGCTCCTGCCGCCCCTCAGCGCACTTCCGCCACTGCTCTTTTCTTGGAAATGGGTAACTACGACGGAAAGCTTTGGGACAACGAAGCCAAGAAGGCCGTTTACAATGCCTGGGATCCTAACTCCCCTCGCACTGTCAACAACTTCAACCCTTTCGAGACTTGGGATGGAAACTCCCCTGTAAGTTGTCACTTGATTTCGACGTTCCTAGCCCCGTTTTGTTGTCGTTTGAATTTTGTCTGAAAATAATATGGCTGACACACCAACTTTCCCACACACGCTCCTCGTTTGTTGCAGGACTGCTCTGGACGTTACCCTGGTGAGACCGGATACAAGGATCCTGCCCGTGGTGATGTCAACTTCCAACAAATGATGATCGAGCGCGAGGAAGCGGAGGCCCGTGCCGCCAACCCAAAGGTACGTTGCATCCATTGGGATTGTACGGTTCGCGTTATTACCAACTTCGTCTGTTGACCTTGTTTTGTTCCTATTCTTGCCTTTTTTAGCCTGGTTTCACCCCTGGATGCCCTGGATGCAGAAACTAAGGAGCATCACTGGTGTGTGGTCGAGTTGACACAATTTTTACGCTAAATTCGTTTTAGGATAACAGGAATTAGTTAAATATTGTCGAAAATTCAGCTCTCTTGTAGATTTCTGTAGAGTATCGAATGCGTCATTGAAGGCACGGTGATTCAGAAATATTTGTTTCACTGGAGGAACGTCTCGACTACCATTTCGAAGTATCTTTCTCCCTGACCATGAATCAGAACTGCGAGGTATGATACAATTTTGTCACACGCACATACCACAAAGTATTGGTGGAAGTTGACGCGCTTGGTGATCGTGCCGTCAAAGATCCAGTTCCTATTGTTGATCTACCTGACAGTCACAGCTCTCCAAAATTCCATCACCCAGATACAATGGAGAAAGAAGAATCTGGAGGCCGGCAGCAATTTCCATGTGTGCGCAAACGCTATTTCTACGATTGATTTCATTTTTGAAATATACTGGAGTTGGAAATCATAACATGACAACGCCTTGTGAAAGCATTGGCTGGCCGAAAAGATGGCGGTTCCGTGGACGTCAAACTTTGACGACTTTCCCCGCCACATAGTGCAATTTTGTCCTGCTGTGAACAATGGAGACCATCAAGTGGCATTTCACCTTCGAGAATCGTAGCAAGGCTGGCAATTGGATGTGGCTTGATTGCTTTTACGGTAGGTTGAGGGTCTACTAAAATTACTATGCATACTACGGTAGATCGTACTCTCTAGAGTAGGTAGACGTCGAGAAACAACAAGATGACTGTAGACATCTGGTGGGCTTGCGCGAGAAGGCTTTCGTATTTTCTAAAATTCTGAATAGGAAACTTCTTGTTTACGATAGAACTGTGTATAAGCAAGAATCGAGAAGGCTTCTTCGCTTACAGTTAAGACTCGCCAGAAAATCCGTTCCCAAGAGGTTGACTGTGAGATCATCGATTTTTTCATCACACATTGTCAATTTCCATAACGGAAACAACTACTGTCGTACAACGTACACAGCTACCACCCTTCATAATCCAGAACCATGCCATCTCGATCAAGTTTCATGTTGGAGAAATTCCGATCAGAATCGCAGCGTCGTTTGAACGGCTTGAAAACATATACCGACGATGGCAAGGTTGAGCGACGGAACACCAAGCTAGAGAAGGACATCTTTGACAATGTCGATAATGCTGAAACTCTGCTGATCGACCTGCCGCCCGAAACTTTTACCATTTCCTCACAAGATGTACCGGCCATGAAGTTGTTTGTCCCACAAATCATTGAAGCGGCCGTGTTTTGTGGACATGT